TTTTATTTGATTTGTTTCTTTCCATGGTGGGATCCAGTAAGCAGTTGAAATCTCCTAAAAATAAAATTCTTCCCTGCTTTATTCTCTCAGCCCGTGAGACAATCTTCGGTCTAAATCTAGTTGGAGAATGGTTAGAGGCATACAGATTTACTATTATATGTTTGGTTGTTAATTTCACAAATAAGTATGTGAAATCTGCCTTCAGTATTGGAATCCTGATGTATCAGCTTAAAGGCTAACTTACTGGCAATTTAAATTAGCAACACCTCTTTTTCTTTTTTTGACAAAGATGATTTGAGCACATGGGAAATATCTTTAGATCTTTAAAATGTTTTAGAATAAAAAGTATTTGAGTTGAACAGTTTAGAGTGCGTGTATGTGACATCCTATATCAGTTTTCCTAAAAAAGAGAAGGAAAAAAAAATCCCATTACAATTAGTAGCACAGCATCTATTTCATAAAAGTGTCACTATCCCTATAGAAAAAAATAAGTATATTGTAAATTTAGAATGCATATCCCTTCAAGAAAATATACTTCAAAAAAGCAATTAATATCTCTTCTCCTGCCTAGGAGATATAAACTTTACAAACTTTATCCCAGAGACCAATAGCATTTATTATAAAATTAAACCAACTGGTAGATCACTTGCCAAAGTAGGGTAAAAAATAAATTAACATAAAATAGAATAATTAACTGATCATTCCAAATTATTAGATTGCAACCATTGTTGTAGAGAGGCAGAGTCTTTAAAAAAAATTCAGTTTTATCTTTATATTTAAGTCTTAAGCCCACTGGGAAGGACCACGTGTAGCTTATCTCATTCTTTATGAGTATTCTGGTTTGGGCATAGAATGTTCTGCGTGAGTTTCTGGTACCTAACGATAAGTCATTAAATATCTTCAGTGATTCATACTTAGAGCCTATCAGAGATTTCTGTCTCAAAGCTGTAACAATCAACGACCTAAACTTAAAAGAGAGTAGATATGCCATAACATCTCTTGATGCCTGAGCTGGGAGAGAATTAGGTTTATGTATCCAATTAATTCTTTCTATGAAATTAACCTTATTGTCCCAGTGGAGACCCAGAAACATAACCAGTTCTTTCATATATTTCTCTAGATTTTCAGAAGTAATGTTTTCAAGGATATCTCTTGCATTATTACGACGAGCTCTGTCTTTATAGTCTAATAGCTTCGTTTCTAAAACTTCCATCTTCCGTTCTAACAGAGCGATCTTATCTTGTTGTAGATTGTAGTACTGAATGTTTCATTTTCGGCAACTCTCCTTTAAATTCTTTAAATGATTTGTATTTCCTCTTTAATTTTGCTCAGTTGGGTGTCAAAGCATGCATTCAGGTGCCCTTGAAATATTGAAAATCTTTTATGGATATGTCTAAAATTTCTCTTTCACTTCCCTTCTCCATTGTTACTATGTTACTCCGTTCATCACTGTAACTTTGTACATCATGTTGACTCACTCTTCTTTCTGTTTTGTCTTGTAATGAAGAAGAAAAGTTAGAAATACATTTATCCGCTTTAAGTTCTTTCCTTCTTAGATCCCTGTTTGGATTCACTTTTTGTAGTAGCCATTGTTGCAAAATGTTAGTAAGAAAAAAATAAAAATAATAGAGAAGGGCTCTATAGAGGCCAATTAGTCTCCCGCCTGTGAGACAATTAAACCCTTAAGGACACATGACTGAAATATTTCGTCATGATTCCTTTATTCCAGCAGTTGTGTCCTTAAGGGGTTAAGTTGTGTAATTTTGAATTACCTCTTGTTCTTTATAGTCCCAACTCCTGCCCTGCTGGTCTATAATTTCTTCATTTTATTTTCTTCTTAATAGTAAGAAGAAAAGCAAAGAATAAATAAATAAGTAGATAATTAAAGGATCACTATAGTGTCAGGAAAACACTGTGGCGCTGAAGGGGTTAAAACCCCTTCAGCAGCTTACCTTATTCCAGTACCGGGCTCCCTCGGCGCTGGACACCTCCCCCCCCCCCGACGTCAGCTTGTCCAAATCAAATTCCTTTTCATCCACACGAGCGAAATAATTCCATTTGGCATTTACCTCTTAAGTCTTATTTCTTGAACGCACAAGTAAATCCTACAAAATCTAATTTTATATATATATATATATATATATATATATATATATATATATATTTATATGTGAAATGAAAGCCCTAGTTTTCCTGAAGAAAATTATATATAATAAGTGAGGGTGCCCTGGATATGAAAGTGGTGAATTATGGTTAAACAGGCATATAGTCAAATTCCAGGTTTTGTTTTGATCAGAACTTATACATTTGCCTCAGTCCTTAAGGGGTTGAATAGAGGGGATAAGTAAACAAAACATTAAAAATCCTGGAAAGTGTTAGTTCCCCTTTAAGAACCCAAGCACTTTTGGAATTGTTACAATATAACTTCCTTTTTTTTCTTCTTCCATTTAACACAACACTTTGAAGTACGTGATCAGGAGGAATAGAGGGTTGGGGTCAACAGGTGGGCATGTCTAAGATGCTGACACTGACCTAAGTATCCAATTATCTACACGCTGCAAAATCTCGTGGTCACTACTCTATCCTAATTCTCCTTGACTTTCCTGCGGCTTTTGACACTGTTGATCATCAACCGCTTCTTCTCATCCCCCACAATATCGGTCTACAAGATATTGCTCTCTCCTGGTGCTCCTCCTACTTCTTACAGCGCTCTTTCAGTGTTTCTTTTCTGGCTCTGCTTCTTCTCCCCAACTCTGCTCTATTGGTGTCCCCCAAGGTTCAGTCCTTGGTCCCCTATGGTTCTCCATCTATACTGCATCACTTGGTAAACTCATTAGCTCCAAATACCATTACAATGCCGATGACACACCAATATATCGGTCCTCTGTGGATCTCTCTTTGTCCCTCTTGACTAGTGTCTCTGACTGCCTCTCTACTATTTCTAACTGGATGGCTGCCCACTTCCTTAAACTCAACTTGATCAAAAACTGAAATTCTGGTCTTTCCTCCCTTAAGTGTTGCTACTCCTATGCTTGTCTCCCTCCAAGTCAACAGTTCGAACATCAGCTCCACCATGCATTAAGCAGGGCCCTCAACCCCTCTGTTCCAACTTGTCTGGTTACAACTACGTATTTGTTCGTCCACCCACTGTAAAGTGCTGCGGAATTTCTTGACTCCGACTTCTCCTTCACAGCTCACGTTCAGTCTATCGCCAAATCCTGCCGCTTCCATCTCAAAAACATGGTGTGCATCCGACCCACCTTAACGCCAGCTGCGACTAAGGTGCTGGTCCATTCCACTGTCCTTTCTCGCCTTGACTACTGTAATCAGTTTCTCAGTGGTCTTATGTGCTCCCACCTTGCACCGTTACAGACCATAATGAATGCAGCAGCGAGGCTCATCTTCCTGTCCGCCCACGCCTCACCCTTCTGTCAGTCCCTACCTTGGCTTCCTGTAAAATTTAGGGTTCAATTTAGAATTCTGGTTCTTTCTTTCAAATCTCTACATACTGCTACCACCTAGCTATCCTCCCTAATACACAAGTATGTCCAGTCTAGGCCCTTACGCTCTGCTGAAGACTTACATCTATCTTCTGTCCGTACTCCCACCTCTGATGCTCGCCTTCAAGACTTCTCGAGGGCTGTACCGTTCCTGTGGAACGCACTTCCCTCTTCTGTTTGATGCTCACCAAGTCTCCACTCCAAAAAATAAAAATAAAAAAATCATTAAAAACCCATGTCTTCATAAAAGTGGATCAATTAAACTGTTAATAGCTTCCAACTGATTCCTCTCTTGCAAATGTCATTAGTCTAATCCTATCCTTACCTTTTGTGTCACGTTACCCCACTCCCTCTAGCAAGTAAGCTCATTAACCCCTCTGTTCCAACTTGGCTGGTTACAACTACATGTTTGTTCGTCCACCCACTGTAAAGCGCTGCGGAATTTGCTGGCACTATATAAATAACAATAATAATGCTATTAGTGCCACAGATTACATGATCATCTTTTAAGGGGGAAATGTAATTCTGACACCCATACCCACACATAACACACACTCCTTAGACTGGAACTTGTTGATAAAGTGAACAGTGACACACAATCCAATTAGAGTACCCCAAACATACAGGTATCAATGCACATACAAAAAAAAAAAAATATTTCAAAGTTTTCCAAAAAAACAAAATTGGCCACACCACTGTGTAAAACCCATCATTACTTTGTAGAAACCCAATACTGGGGTAGCTGAAATCTAATTTAACAGTGAGATACAAAAAAAACTAGTGGGATTACTTATGGCTTAAATTGCTCCTATATGATTAAAACAGATAAGACATGAACTGCGTGACTGCAACAGAATTTAAAGTATTATAATCGAGGTAAAAAAAAAAGTTAAGAGTTTATGCATCAAAGGGCAAGTAAAATAGCACTTTATTTAAAGGAACACTATACTGCTCAAATATAAAAATAATTACTATTTAGTAGATATACCCCAACGAAAACATGCATTTAATTAATGGGCATACAAAAAATCTGCTCTTTTGGGCTTAATTTTTTTTAAGTTATGCTATTGCTGGATGTACAGTCTCATTGTATAGGTATAAACATTTAAGGAAGTAACAGGACTTGTTTGCTGCTTGACAACCAGGGGAGAGAGGGGGGTTAGCGGGATGTAACAAGGTTACTTTAAAAGTGTGCCAATTTCTATTGAATTCTGCACTTTTGGTAAAATAAAAACCGTTAAAAAAATAAATAAAAAATAAATCCTTCATTTAGAAAGCATTTTGGCAAACAGGACTCCAGCGGGCTGTAGTGGTAATAGTTCTTTTAGTGTTCCTTTAAAGAGTCCATCCACTTTAAGCTCATACACTGCAATATGGCACTTATTATGGTTTGAAATAATCATAAATGTTCTTCAGTTATTCTTGTGAGGAAGAAATGTCAAATCTATTAGTCAGATGTAAGATACTTAATATACCGTGTTTCTAAAAACAGTGCTGTATCCAGGAACGGTCGCTTGGTTAAACGTTTGTGGCGCTGTTGTATTAGAATAGTAAGAAAGATTGATTCAAGTACAGTGCACATGACAATTAATTGTATTGTGGTCAGATTAACGAGATACCTATTGCCAGAGGCTTGTGGCTCTGTTTTATTGCTAAAGTTCTGTAAATTTAAATATAAACTGCAGGTAGAGTCCACCTAAATGACAGCAACTTAATGTTATTTCACGTTTGACATGGTTTTTAATGATTACCCAGCAGAGTTTACGAGTCTGCAATATAGGTTTTTTTACCTGTAATTATAAAAATTCTTAATCCACTTACTGTATTTAGAATATTGCTGTTGTATGGTCTACTGTCATTTGCGCTTTGTTACCTTGTGTATTTATCTCACTTGTGGAGATTGAGACAAAAAAAACTAAATAATGCAAAACAGTTATATAAAAATCATCACTCTTTGATTTTCATCAAAAAGAGTTTTCAACGTGAGTAATTTACCTGCCAGGCACTAAAAAATATTTTTATTTTTTTTTTTTAAATTAAACTTAAAACCTTATCTCTTGAGAACATCTAAAGCACAAAAACATATAAGGTGATCAAAAGAAAAGTGATAATTTATATATTATTTTATATCATCAAGAAAATCACAATGGAAACCAAAGGGAGGAGTTAAGCCAGTAGCAAATGTTGCTCCAGACTTATTTATACCCAACCTTTAATATGATCATGCAAAAAAATACCCATCTTAAATTTGAGGTGCTAAATCAAATGGCTGCATTGTAATAGGATTCTGGCAAATACAAATGAAACACTACCAATATTCTGTGCAGCACTCTTGTATAATAAACAATTGCAATGGACATCCGTGTCTTTGCATTAAATATCACTACGCTTTTAATAAAAAAAAAAACATTTTTAGGAGATCAATTTACTTTAAAATGGCTCAGTTACTATTGTAGAGGTTATTACTACTTTTTTTTTTTTTTTTTACACAAGCTCTTTGTAAGCAAAACACGCTTTACAGGTTGATAAAACTTTGATATATATTTAAACAAAATACAAAAGAAATTTCTCAGTCTTTAAATAAAAAAAAAATCTGTCAAATGTATCCATGTAATAGTGTTTGATCTAATCATAAAAAGAAAAAGGCAAACAAGATTAATAATGATAAAAAAACTGAGTAGTGTCAAATATTTGCTGTATACATATGCATATATCTTTTGAAAGGGCTGGGTCCTCGGCAACAGAAAAACCAAGAATGACTTGAAAAGCAACAGTTTATATCAGATACATTTAAATATATACAGTGCTGTTAAGATGCCATGATGAAAAAGAGGGACAGTATTACAGGCAAATACTAGTTCCTAGCTACCCATGGGAAATGCATTAGAAAAATAATACATGAGATTAAAGAATTGGGAGCTACTTTTCTGATTTTACATACTAATTCTGCCATTTTGCATTTAACAATATTTTATTTTCTACAAGTCTCAATGTATGATTATCAGTTGGCACAGAAACACGGGAATGGGAAGCAGCTTTTGCATTATCCATATTTTCTAGGAAAAAAAATATAATTCCATAAAAATGACAACTCCCATTAATCACAGGCATGCAATCTTAAATAATAAAAAAAAAAAAAAAAAAAAATTATCACAGACCTGTAATTCTAGCACAGCTTCCCAGACATTGCTTCATCATTTAAATCATATGTTTTACATGGCAATAATAAAAAGTTTTTAAAAAGTTTACTATTGTTAACACCTTCATATATAATCAACAACCAAAATAATTACCAATTTTTAGAACAGATACATTTTCGAAAATGAGCCAAAATGCTAGCACACCTGGCCTGGCGGGTACGCAGATTCTGCAGGACTCAAGACCTCGGAAAATGCGTTTAAATAAATAGGTCAATGCAAAACATATGCCGACAGGGTGAGGGTTGAGAACTAAGTTACTGTAAAGGCAAAAGGAAAACTAAAATAGGTAGCGTCTTTAATACATTATTTCATAGCTCGAACACTTTAAAAATTAAAATAAGCTTAAAACATCTTTCATACAATCTGAAATGCGACGAGACAGTCGGGGATGACCGCCACCAATACTGAGGTGTAGAATGACACGACTTTTGAACAAGTTCTGCACTGTTTTGTAATCCTAATGAACACTTTGTTTAAGTAATGCAGAGTCACCTGAGCACCACGGAGGACAAAATGCTTCCCAGAAGTAAATGAAGGTTTAAAGAAATCGTAGCAAGACTGACTTTACAACCATGAAAAGAAAGGAAGAAAATAATTGACAGTACTTTAAGATTTTTTTTTTTTTCCACAGCAAAATGCCAATGAGAATACAGCACAAACAATTGAAGATATTGCTTAAAATTCCATTGTAAAAAGCCTTTTGTGTTTCTTTTACTCTGTCATATTGGAGAACCCATTCAGTTAATGTCAGTTTAAAGCTGCAAAATGAAAGCTATACAATCACTTTATGAGGGATAAAAAAACAAAAAAAAAAAGAAAAAAAAAAGCTATTTACAGTTTTATGTCTACAAGTCCATCTCACATTATCACACAAATACCCACAGCTAATGATAAAAGACCGTGGCTGCAAATGTAGGGGTATGAAATGAAAGGTATATGCAAGTTGTCATTCCACAAGCCCCATCCTGTATGCAAGCAGCCTCATCCAGACTCCATCTAACAAGCCGCATCTTTGTCTTGGATTTTTCCTTTGCTTTATACAGCAGTTATTCACCGTTTTTTCGCGGGTCGACGTCGTACCTAAAAGAAAAGTATCCACATTTCATTATACAAACATTTAAAATAGAAGAGTCTTCACCTCCGTCTAATCACGCCCTAAGAATAAAACAAAAACAATGTACTTATGGCAAAAACCGTGGAGAATGAATATTCATCTTCCCTCTGCACAACCTCATTGTTTTGGCCGAAACTGTATAGTCAATTCCCTGTAGAGCCAATAAATCCTTAGATGTTTAGTTAAAACACTTTTAAAAAAATTTTTATTTCTCATGCAAGTAGACAGGGGTTTCCCTTGAAAATGTTTGAATAAGTAACATAAGCTTCACGTTCTGTTAACAAGGCAAAAATAAATTTATTCTTGCAAGACTGCAAAACTCAAGGGACATCATTAGCTTATATTCTGTGTGGCATCCATGAAATATACTCTCCTTTAGAATGTACAATAAAGCAGAACTCACTTATACTTTAGTAAAAAATATACACGCAAGTCCACTAGTTTGCGGCTGAAATTAAAATTATGTGTAATCTGTTGTTACCGGTGAAATCGTTTTTTCTATTCTCTGTAGTAAGCGATAAAGGAGATGGATATTTTAGGATATTTTATTTTTTATTGAAGGTGTATGAAATGAGCCTTCACTTGGACTATTTAAATAAATACTTCAGAGATCACATTTCTACAGAATAATGTTGGACTGGTCCTATGAAGTAATGTTCTGGAGCACTGCAATATTTATCTGGTAACATGTAAAACAAGATAATGGCACATAATCCATATCAGATGATAGTTGGGGTCAAGTCAAAAACCCACTAAAAGATATTTCTGGGGGGGGGGAGGGGAGTAAATTTTTAAGACATTCTCTTTGACTTCTTCTCTGGGGACTGCAGCTTCTAACATGAGCTTCCATGAGCACAGGTAAAGTAGCAGGCAATTGCACCCACGGGCCCCAGGTAAGAAAAATAATATCCTTAAAAAAACAAAACAAAAAAAAAAAACAAAACAAAAAAAAAAAACACAAACTGCTTAACAACTTAACATTAGGGGGAACAACAGGATACTTATGGTACCATAACCACTACAGCGCACTTTGCAGTTTCATATATCGGATAAACATTTATCAAAAAATATTTTTATGCAAAATAAGTTTTCCCTTATAATAGCAAACAATACAATTGCATTATGTACTTACAGCAACGGTACTGACTTCCTCCTCCTCTTCAGATTCCTCATCTCTCAGATTATCACTATTTGCTGGGCTATTCTGGGACATATCCATCTCATCGGATGATTCCACTTCTCTACTCACTGCCTTCCGTGGCCGTCCAACACTGCTTGAAACAAGCCTCTTTTTTAATTTTTTTTTATTTTCAGCAGACCAAAATGTCACATTACAAACACATTCAGTTAAAGGAGCACTATAGGGTCAGGAACACAAATATATTTCTGACCCTTTAGTGTTAAAACCACTATCTAGTCCCCCTGCCCCCCTCTTGCCTCTCTAAATATAATAAAATCTTACTTGTATTCAAGCCAGAAGCTGCTGGTTTTGTCCTGGTTTGCCTCAGAACAGCAAGCTGCCTGCTGACATCAGAAGTGTTGCTCTGAGCCAATCACAATGCTTCTCCATAGGATTGGCTACAACTGAAAGATGCAGATCAGTTGCAGATCCAGCACAAGTCAAACACAGCCCTGGCCAATCAGCATCTTCTCAGACACATTCAATCAACGAATCTCTTTGAGAAAAGTTCAGTGTCTGCAACTGAATGTTGTGATTTAAACTAGGCAAGACTTAGATAGTTAGCAGCTCTAGTAAGCCATCTGAGGAGTGGCCAGTGAAGCTATCACTAGGCTACAATGTAAACACTGCATTTTCTCTGAAAAGAGTGTTTACAGCAAAAAGCCTGAAGGTAATGATTCTACTCCCCAGAACAAATTCAATAAGCTGTAGTTGTTCTGGTGACTATAGTGTCCCTTTAAGATTGATCTTTTTAAGATTCTTTAAGATTTACTTTTTAGATGAACTTTACAAGAGAAACAAATGCCTAGCTAAGGGTAAAACAAAAGAAAAAGGAAAACATGGAAAGAAATTAAGAGACTGTAGGAGAAGAGAAAGGCGGGAAGGAGAGGGGACCATAGGTAGCTGTTCAATCTTAGCCCAGTAGAGCAGTGGATCCAAGCCCTGTCCTTAAGTACCCACCAACAGTCCAGGATTTCTGGATTACCCAGTTGTGTCTAAGACATTTTAAAAAACAAAAATAAAAATAAAAAAATAAAAAAAAGACAGAGTAATCCCTAAATCTTGGACTGGTAGGGGATACTTGAGGACTGGGTTGGGAACCCCTGCAGTAGAGGATTGCTTTGGGGATATTGCCACAAAATATTAGAACCTTGCTGCCAGCAAATATTTGGCAATTTATTGGATTAAAAAAACAAACAAAAAAAATTACAACTTCATGGTCTAAAGGAAGACCCCAGGCACCAAACAACAATCTAAATCAGGGGTTCTCACCGTTAGTCCTCAGGACCCCCTACCAGTCCAGGGTTTAGGGATTACCTGGGTGTGTCTAAGGTGTTTAAAAAAAAAAAAAAAACACCTTAGAGTCTAGGGTGTTTTTTTCCCTTTTTCTAAACACCTGAGACACGCCCAGGTAATCCCCAAATCCTGGACTGGTAGGGGGTCCTGAGGACTGGGTTGAGAACCCCTGATCTAAATGAAGAACTGCTAAGCCCTGATATTGCCTCCAGTACCGATTTCAAACCCCCTCCCCCCCCCAACAGATTGGCTGAGAGCAGTCAGTTCCTCATTCTCAGTTTTTTCCAAGCCAATTTTGTGAATGGTTCAGGGACTCCTGCCATCAACTTTATTTAGATCAAATGGGTATGGTGTCTTATAATGCCTAAACTGTCCCTTTAATCACGAATCTACATGATTAAAGGGTTAATCCAGCATAACCACTACAGCCCAGTGTAGTGGGTAAGATGCCAGAAATACCCTGGCCGGTTCCAGGTAGTAGGGCTAATCATTTAGCATCGGTTTGCTCGCTTACCCGAGTACTTGATAGCGCCAGGGCTTCTGCTGACACGCAATCCAGTCGCCATTCAATGGCTGGGAACATCAGCTGACTGCTCCCGGCCAATAAATGGCTCACTGCGCGCGCACACACACACACACAAAAAAAAAAAAAAAAAGGGGACCCTGTACAGAATTGACATTTTGGCCAATGAAGCCCCCATTACTCTGTTAGAGGTAGATTTACACCTCAAACAGTTAAGGGCTTAAACTCTGGATGTGGAGTGTTTCAAAACAAAACGCTGCACATACAGACTCAAGGAACAAGGACCACTTAAAGTCATTTGAAGTAGTCATAGTGTTTGGAACAACTCTGTATGGTTTTGTATTTTTTACTCCAATATTTTTCTATATATCTGCCAATGCTTGTGACCACCTCTCCTATAGACCTGCACAGAGATTCCATGTGACAAAACATTTTAGTTGAAGACATTTTAAATTGCAAAATATTTACAAGATGAAAGTTTCTGAACATAAAAAGTACCTTTTTTTCTCTTGTGAAGCAGCATTTTTGGGCGGCCGTCCCCTTCTCTTCTGTGGGGTAGATTGAGGCGTATCAAGGACAGGATCAGGCTGCTCAGATCTGTTAATAAAAAATAAAAAAAAGAATATGAAAATAATAAAAGCAATATCCATGCTTACACAATGCAATCTATTTCATGATCGGAATTTGACCTATTATATACTGTGTCTGCACAGTAATGTGTACATTTTACAACCAATTAACAAGTAATGTTTTATAAACCTATTTGCTCACTTTACTTTTTAGAAGACAACACAAAAATTTGTTCCAACATATCAATTGTACAAAACTCCATGGGAAAATACCAACTTTGAAATTCCATTAAAGGGACACTCTAGGCAATGGAATCAACTCATCTTTACTCATTAAAGAGCTCATGGTGCTTCAATACGGTCCCTGCAGTCTAGGGCTTCATTTTGTTCGGTCGTTACCAGGGTGGAACCCTGCAGTCTGGGGCTTAATTTTGTTTGGTCGTTACCAGGGTGGAAATTATTTAGATCAAATGAATTTAAATCACTAGTCAGTAAGACTATTAAAATCTTGGTTTTCTACATTCTGCTCTGTGGTTGCTATGGGAGGAGACCAGAGAGTGTCTGACCGCTAAGAGAAAAAAATTATTTTTTATAGGTTTTTCACCTAATCTATACATTTGCTAGCAAACAATATATTAAATATTATGCTTAAATCGAATGACCATAGGTTGTTAAGGGCATGGCAGGTGCCATTTAAATGAATTTTTTTTTTTTAAACACCCTGGTCACTACCCACAAGGCCAACCAACTCACAAACCACATATAACGTTAACTTGAATGAAACATTGGGCACTGCACATCAGGAGCACACATATGCAAGTATTATTACAGTCCTTGTGAAGGACTGGTGCTGTTCAAGGCCCACAATTCTATTCAAATTCAACTCTTAACTCCTTAAGGACCGGACTGTTTTGGCCATGTTGTACGTTTTGGATGAGGGCTTTTAAAAAAAACAAAAAAAAACAAAACATCTTTGTGGTGTTTGTGTTTAACTGTAATTTTCTTCTCTCTCATTTACTATTCCCATATACAAATTAGATTTTTTTTTTTCAGGACAAGAAGGGCTTTCTTTACATACCATTATTTCTATCATGTCATAATTTACTTTAAAAAAAAAAAAATCTGCTGAAAAATTAATACATGTTTTTGACTGGAAAAAAAAAACCTACTAAATAGATTCAAAATTTTGTCCTGAGTTTAAAAACACCCAGTGTTTACATGCTTTTTTTGCAAGTTATAGGGCTATAAGTACAAGTAGGAAGTTGTGTTTTCAAAATATATATTTTTAAAATGTACCAATAGTGACATTGTAACATGTTATCTGTCAAATCTCTAAATCACATCCCACATGTACATTTTTTTTTTTTTTAAATTAGACAACCCAGGGTATTCCATATGGGGTATGTCCAGTATTTTTTAGTAGCCACTTAGTCACAAACACTAGCCAAAGTTAGCACTTATATTTGTTTGTGTGTAAAAAAACGCAAAACGCAATTATGAACACTAACTTCGGCTAGTGTTTGTGACTAAGTGGCTACTAAAAAAGACTGAACATACCCCATTTGCAATACCTTGGGTTGTCCTTTTTTGCAAAGGGTATGCCATCATGGGGGTAATTCTCATTCCTGGGCGACCATATGCTCTCAAAGGCAACATAACCAACCTGTCAAATTTCAATGTTAAAAAAAAAAAAAAAAAACACTTTCAAAAACACTATAAAACCTGTACATGGGGGCTACTGTTATACTCGGGAGACTTCGATGAACACAAATATTAGTACAATATAATCAGTGAAAGTGCAGTTTGTGTGTGAAAAATGCAAAAAACTTCACTTTCACTGACAATGTCATTGCTGTGATATGTTTTACTGTTTTGAAACACAAATATTTGTATTCTGTGAAGTCTTCGAGTAAAACAGTACCCCCCATTTACAGGTTTTAGGATGTCATGTAAAGTTACAGGGTTAAATACAGTGCTAGAAAATTAAAGTCTCTGGAATTTCGGCCTGGGTTGTCAGGTAGGTCCTTCAAATGGCAAACAAAATTAATTTTGTAAAAATATTATATATATGGAATTTTTTTCCTAGCTTGTTGCAAAATTGTGCTTCAAACTGTTTTTTTTGCCTTCTTTTGGATCAACAGCAAAAACCAAATGTGAGGAAGGCTGAACTTGATGGACGCAAGTCTCTTTTCAGCTATGTAACTATGTAATATATTTAAAGTCTACATATTTATGAAATTATTTAGGTAATTTTGTATATGGATATATATTTTGTATTATTTTTATTTATACATAGATATATAATTTCAGTCTAAGTGTATTTTGATATACCGTATTTATCGGCGTATAACACGCACTTTTTCTCCCTGAAAATAGGGGAGAAATCGTGGGTGCGTGTTATACGCCGGCCCTTTAAATTCTGTAGCCGCCTGAGCGCTCTGTCAAGAGCGCTCAGGCGGCTGCAGTTGGTACTCACCTTCCCTGTAGCGTGGCAGAGCCGCTCTGCAGTCTGCGGTGGCCGGCCGGACTGATAGGAAGGTACACGCTCAGTGTGCACCATCCTGTCAGTCCGACCGGGTACAGGAAACAGAAACTCCTGTTCCGCGCGGAACAGGAGTTTGTTTCCTGTACCCGGTCGGACTGACAGGAAGGTGCACACTGAGCGTGCACCT